GTCGGGCTGAGGGGGCATCATTGGACAGCAGTGCCTGCAGCTGGGGTCTCCACACAGACCCCCTCCTCAGCCTCAGCACAAGCTTGTCCGGATGACCTTTGTCCCCCAAACGCAAAGTCTGACCCAGGACCCCCCTCAAGCCCTGACTCCCAATCCTTTCTACTCAACTCAAGTGACAAGAAATGGCCAATAGTTTAGTTGGTGTTGGGTGCACAGGGACATTTGCTTTTCTGGCCCATGCTGTAACGTTGCTGGCATTTTAAAGATCTCAGGGCTTTGATTCAAAAACGGCAGGATGCTGGGGACCCCAGACAGCTTCCTGGAAACCTGCCTCTGGGCCTTGCAGCCCTCCCATCCCACCAGCGCTCAGAATCCCACCAGCTGCTCAGAATCCCTCCAAGCCACAGACCCACAGTCTTGAGTCCTCAGATGGCCCAGGCGACGTGCCTTCAAAAAGTGATCCCGGTGGGGCTGCAGGACACACTGCGGATTCCAGCAAATCCCCCTCCCAGAAAGTGAGGGTACCACTGGACAAACTGTCCAAAACCAGCCAGGTCAGGGTTCCAGGAAGACACCAGAGGCACAGGAGTAACTGAGGAGCATCTGAAGGCCAGGTAGGGACAGTGAGAACCTCTGGTGTTTTTGCCTAGGGGCAGCTCCGGTCCCCCTAAACCCTCAGTGGAATGGCTTTACTGGGGCATTGGGGGAGAACCATGCCTGGAGGACCCATGGCTCCACTGTCCAAGGTCGCCGACTTGATCAGTGCACAGGTGGGGAAAACCGGCCACACCCCGAAGAATTTCTAGAAACAGTAGCCATCTCAGTGGTAGCTGACCTGGGAGGTCAACCTTTCAGCTGCCTGAGGTGAGATCGAGGCACAGACCAGCACACTAGCCAGAAATGGAAGAAGGAGAACCAGTTCTTCATTTCATAGTTTCTAAGTCACCAGTTTGTTCCTACGGTTAGTATATTTTGCATCCTGGGAAATCTCTGCCTGTCTAAGGTCTTGAAACTGTTCTCCTCATGTTCTCTGCTGGAGAGGTTCTTGCAAAATCTCTGGTTTATAGGTAAAAATCATCTGGAATTGACTTTGGTTGGCACACCCATGCTGGGAAAAGGATGAAGCTTCCCCAAAATACTAAAAAAAGAACTCCCGTATGATCCCACTATCAGGTAGACCTTTTCAGGAAATAAAGTCAGTTTCTCGAAGTAAGATCTGCATTCTCCCACCCAATCTCCCTGAGGAGGGGCGGCCACCCTTAGCGACCCTCCCCTTGAGGCAGGTGCCTCCCTGGACAAGGGGCTACCCCAGGGCTGGAAGGTCTCCACAGCAGCACATCCAATGTCCTGATACTAGGAGGCAGAGTACAGCACCAGGCCAGTGAGGGTCAGGACACACTACCCTGAATATGGCACCTTGGCAAAATAAATACAGAAGCTAAAAGAACTTTTGCATAGAGCAAAGCAAGAAGGTCTCTCTGACCCCCAGCCATCAGCCCTTTTTCCCTTAAGCAGGTCAGAAGACTGCCATGTGGAACTTTCTCGCCCCGGACCACAGAGATGACGTGCTTATCACCAGAGTCAAGGAATTTAGGATCACGGGGTCTATACACACACACCTGGTTAAACTAACCCTTATCTTCCTAGTTACTTCTTTACCGTTTACGAGCCCTAGTCCAAACCCCTGCGTCTGTCAATTCTTCACACACTTACTGCTTCTTTGTCTAAAAGGTAGAAGAGCTGTCTGCTCCAGTCACCTCTGCTGGTCTTCATGGTCTTGTGAGGCTCCCACCAAAGCAACCAATACATTTTGCTTGCTTTTCTCCTGTTCATCTGTCTTTGTCAATTTCCAGACTCAGCCGGGGACCTTAACAGGGTTGAGGAAATCTTTTTCCTCTCTTGCAGCTCTGTGGGGCAGGGGGTGGGGAGTCAGGAAAACCCATCCCATCTTCCTGGCTTTGGTTAAAACCGACCTCTGCTGGGAAGCAGCATAGGACTGTGCACGGGTGGGGGAGCCAGAGAGAGGCACGTGGAACATGTAGGAGCTACCTGACCCCCAGCCGGGGGACTTGGCCCCAGTGACAAGTCCAGGGTGTGATTATGAATATTATAATGGAAGCATCCTGAACATCAGACCTTCCCCACTCCAGGCTTCATGATTGCTGCTCATTGTAGTTGCTACTGTTGGCTTAGTGACTTTTCTGAACTCACTTTGTCAAGTCTGTATTCTTTGCTGTGTGTGGCCACTGAATCCCTGTGCTGTTAACTCAGTGGTCAGCCAGTGGCTGGGCAGAGAGGTCACCCCTGTTTCTGAGCTATGGGCTACAGACTGGAAGTCCCCACAACCTCCTCTTCAGGTTTGAATAATCTGCTCCAGTGGCTCATGGAACTCAGAGAAACATGTTACTTACTAGATGACCAGTTCATTAAAAGGACAGAACTCAGAGCCAGGCAGCTGGAATCGATGAGCAGGGCAAGGTGTGTAGAAGAAGCTCGGGGCTCCCCCGCTCTCTGAGTTAAAGAGGCCTTTGCCCACCTCCACTCTGACCTTCGTCTGTACTTCCTAACTGATGACGTCCTTCCTTCGGGCTCATCTGTTAACTCAAGTGAAAGACCCGGTGGGCACCAAAATGACTCCTCAAGTAATAACCACTGCTGATGTCCTGGTGATTCTTGGGCACAGCCATGAATCTCAGCTTCTTCATGATGGGGCGTAGCCCAGCAGCTGTGGATCCCACAGGTCCTCTCGGGGACAGCCCAGCAGCTGAGGGTCCCACGGGTCCTCTGGGGACAGCACCTTAATGGGCTTATGGTCCAGCAAGTACCTGTTCAGGTGGCTCTCATTGTGCCACACAGCCTCAATCTCAGTGGCCAGGTTGACCCCCATTGCCTGGTGACAGGCCAAGGTCATTCGGTGAACCTCTACCACCGACCCCCCAAAAAAGGTCCTCATGTAGTAAAAGTCGCCCTTGTCCCTGGGGATGTGTGCCTGGGACTGTGGCCAATGCTTGTAGCTGAAGTCCTTGCGGGCTGCCTGGTAGAAACCGGGGTGCAGGGTGCCGAAGAGGGGGGACAGGATCTCCATACTCACGTGGTCGCAGAACTTCATGTCCACCTCTGTGCATACCAGGTAGTCCACCTCACGGAGGAAGTGTGGAATTATTCTTAGAAAATATATTGTAAGCCCTCAGGAGTGATTGTGGAAGCAGCTGAAAGGTCAACAGCGTTCCTGTTCTCAGACTATTGAACGCAAGGGCCCAGTAGGAGCAGGATCCCATGATCCCCAGGGGCAGGGCACAGGTTAGGAGCTAGGAAAGAATGTAACCCTCAGGTCCCCTTTCTGCACCTGGTGCTTGCTAGCACAAACATCCCACTTTTCCCTTATCCCATGACTGCCTCCCTGAGTGCCTGCCCCTAGGGGAGGGTGCAGGACTGCTTTACCACTTCAGGATACTTGCCATCCCTTTGTCCTCCTCTCCCACGCTTTGAGGCAACTGCCCTTGCTTTTCTGATAAAAAAATGAAATAAAAGCAGAGGCAGCCCTGCATGGTCACTCAGCTGCTGGGCTGCCCCCCATCATGAAGAAGCTGAGATTCATGGCTGCCCAAGAATCACACATGTTTCTCTGAGTTCCATGAGCCACTGGAGCAGATTATCCAAACCTGAAGAGGAGGTTGTGGGGACTTCCAACTCATGGCAGGTGGGGACAGAACCTTCAGGGGGTCAGCCAGGGGAGGGGACCTGCAGGGTTTGCCCGGGAGCTCAGCACAGGGGGAGTGTTCCTGGCTCCAACATGCTGACTGTGGGGCTGCATGGGTCACAGGGTCACCTACCCTAACCCTAACCCGTTCTTGCAACTTTCTTCTACATTTGAAATTACACCAAAATAAAAGGTTTAAGACGTCACGTGCATTGTCATGTGCGTGATCTGACCCCAGCGCCCTCAGCAGCTCAGCGTTAAGAGAACGAGAGGCCTCCCTTCCTGTCCCTGGAAGAAGACACCTGGAATCACGCGAAGGAGGGAAAGCAGGCCTGGGGAAGAGGAGAGCGACACATTTTTACCGCACATCCTCTGCTGCCGCGTGACTGTCTTACGTGTGCGTGAGCAAATCAATCAGGAAAATGAAAACGCAGAAACTCGCGGGAAGGAACCCTTCTGCACCCACAAGGGGAGCAGCATCCTCAGGGACGCGGCCTATCCTTCAGCTCCATGCTCGCTCCACCTCCGCCCGCCTCCCTGCTGGGCAGCCCAGCCCTGTGCCTCACGCGCCACCTGCTGGCGGAGCGGGGCACTGCTGCCGAGGCGCGCCAGCCCTCCATGCCACCCTGGCACCCACCCTCCACCATGCGTGATCTCGTGACCGCGGCCACATCCCACCTTCCGGAGAGCCCCCGCAGCCAGCAAGATGCCCGATGCAGCGTGGCACTCCGCAAAGATGAGACGTACCGAGGAAAGGACGCGGCTTCGAGGGGAAGCCCAGCAAATGGACTTGGAGGCGAGCACCCGCCTCAGAGCCTGGTGGCAGAGCGGCCCCGCGGCCATGGTGACCCCTGAGAACCACACTGCTGACTGTACGGCCCCCTGCTGGCCCGCCCACCCCAGCCCCGCCTGGGCTCCCGGGGTGTTCACGGCCTATCCCACACTTTACACCAAGGAAGGTGTAAAGTCAGCAGCACTCAGGACCCCGGTCACCAGCTCTTTGTCCCCACGAAGACTCTGAAAAGCAGGGACACCAAGCTGGCCAGTCCTGTGGAGCAAACCAGTTCAGCCCCAAGAAGCCAAAGGAGTTCAATCGGAGCATTAAAAAATAGAACAGAACAGAAAATACCAGATCAATGGCCCCGGAAGCCCATGACCAACACACAGCTGAAGTAAACCTCAAGGACAAACGGCTCATCTCTGTGACTCGCGCAGGACGGCACAAACACATCGCCCTCTGACAAAGTAAACCACACGTGGGGGCGCAGGTGCACGTGCCCTCCGCCAGCGGGGGACTCACCGAGGTCTGTGTTCGGGCCGGCAAGGAGCTGCTTGAACTTGTCGAGCCGGGAGGCCTCTCGTTCACTTAACGCTGAGCTGCTGAGGGCGCTGGGGTCAGACGTGCCACCCATGGCGGCCGCCACCGAGTGTGGGAGAGACTGGGACCGCTGCAGAGGAGCAGTGTCGCCGGCGCTATCTGCGGAGAGAGCGCGCAGGGGGTGAGGACGGCCTCCTGGACCCCCCCCACGGCCCTGTTCCCCAGTAAGAAGGCTCCCACCCGCGCCACCTGCCCTTCGGGAACGCCACCGTGCCACAGCCATCCCCTCCTCCCCTAACCGGCCAGTGCAGACCCGCGTGACCGGGGCAATAAAGTGAAACTAGTGAACACCCAAGAAGCCCACTGGCCTTATTGGTAGAGCGTTACTCCCTGGGAAAACAGACATGCCTCACACAAAAGCAAAACGACAACCAGAAAACTCCAGACCCCCCCGGCTCCCCCACTGCTAGCAGGCCTGCCCAGGTGACACAACCCAAGGATCTGCTGGTGCCTGTGGGGCTCACCTGGGCCTGAGCACAGAAGGAAGCCACCGAGCCACACGTGGAGGAGCATGAAGCCCACAAAGGCACTGCACCCCTTGGATCTCCCCAAGCCCCATGAGGGAGGCGGGCAGGGACCATCACCAAGAGAAAGCACAGGAAGCTAGAGCGCATGCAAGCAGGGGAGGGGCAGCAGGTTGCAGGCCTGCCCAGCACCCCCCGCCCCAGGGCACCACCTACCACCACGCACAAAGGCCCACCGACGGGGACACACAGGGCCGAAGTGAAACCGTGTGTTAAATCCAGGAACCCGGACCAGGAAGAGCCACAGAAAAGAGCCCAAGGCCCAACACCCACTCAGAAAGAGCCACCAGGGACCAACGAGGGGCCCACAGGAACAGGCAGCACCAGGCTGTACACCCCCAGGTCTAAATACCCTTGAATGGTCACATCTCCCAGAACTGAAATTTAAAGTAGAGGAAAAAACCAACTCCAGGAGATGGGGCGGGAACCAAACAAAGTGAAGAAAACATGCCGGCTCCTCGCCGCCGCTGTCAGACTCCCACCGACCCCCTTCTTCCCGCAGAGCTGACTCATTACCCTAAAATCACGGCCTGGAAAGGCTTCACACAGAAACCCTCAGGCTACAGAGGAGCAGTGTCTGGCCCACTTAAGCTTCCAGAAAAGCCTGGAGAGGTGGGCGTCGAGGTGAGGGCAAGTCCCAGCCCCTCCGCAGGGCTGACCCCTCGCTTGGAGGAGGTGTCCCCACCGGCCTGCCCTCCGGGAGGCCCAGGGCAGCGATGCTCAGACCCCCTCCTCCCCGCCCTCGGAATCTGCCACTCTGCTGTGCGTCATGATTCCTCAGGAAAGACGATGGGCGGGGGGAGGGATTCCTCGTTCTAACGCGGAACCAAACGTGCTGAGTTTTACTTCTCCGCCATCTTAGAGAGCATCCCTGTGATCTACTCCGACATGTAAGGACCACGTCGTCCTGAGCAGAGCACAATCCGGTCCCCCTCTAAGATGGGACAGGCAGGGTTTGCAAGGCACAGTGATGCCCCCTGCCCCCCGAGGAAGCAGGAAGGTCAACAGCAGGTCTCCCTGCTACTGTAAGTGGAAAACACATCAGTGTCCCCCTCCGGGGCAGCCAGTGTCCACCCAGGACCCACTTGCATCTCAGTCCCCATCAGCGATGGACAGTCCTCCCCAGCCACGCCCACTGAGCCCTTCGCAGCCAAAGGCGCAGGCTCCCCATTACGCCAGCAGCACCCTAGACCAAGCAAACGGCATCTGACTTCAGATACAAAGGTACAGATACCTCAGACGCTGATTAAGAAAGTGAGGACAGTCGAAAGGTAAGCAGGAGGCGCGGGGAAGGCAGGCCGGAGACCCCTGCTGCAGCATCCCGGAACTTTCAGGCTGTCATCTACCCAGGGCTGAAGGCCAAAGGCGAGGGCAGCCAGCAGGCCCTGTGGACGCTGCGTGGGTTGATGTGAGCTCCCACGGTGGCGCACCATAAAGGGACAGGCACCGACACAATGCCGGAAGTGGGAAGGGCAGGCAGCACTCTGATCACACTGGGCCCCGTGAAACACAGCGTCCAGGCCCCAGAAACACAACTCCGCTCCGAGGAGCACAGTCACATGAAATGGCACTCACAGGTCCCTCACCTCAACAGAGGCCTGGCCTGGCCCTGGGCCGTGGGGCCGGTGCAGGGACAAGAGTGGGGCAGAACATGGAGGAGGGGAGAGCCCGCGGTCACCAGGCCCTGAAGACACCTCAGTTTAGCTCAGCAACATTCACGTAATGACACAGGACCCCAAAGGGAAACAAAGGTAATGGGACATGGTCCCTGCCTTGGGGGAACTTGCAAACCACGTAGATGAGGTGTGCAGTCAGCCAGCCCAGCCCACCCGGCACCTCCCCTCGGCTGGGATGGCCCCACCTCCTAAGCCTGGAGCCTCACCCTACGGGTAACCTTAGAGACATCACCTCCTCCCTGAAGCCTTCCCTGACACGTCCTGGCCCTCCTCAACAAGACTGAACTGGGACTTCTACCCGTGGGTGCTTCTGGGTCCTGTCCATCACTCCAAGGCTCCATTCCACCCAGGGAGGTGAAAGACTCAGATCCTTGTGTTTCCCCACTAGACTGCCTGCCAGTCAACACATCTGCGCCGGGCCCAGCCCAGTAAGAATGAGGGCTGACGTGGTCGTCTTAGCGCCAACACCGAGTAAGCCATCCCCACGACTAACAGCCCACCAAGGAAACTGAACACAGGCCCACGAGTTCTGCGCACCACTGCCAGCCACCCGTGGGGTCGGCTCCCTGAGAGGCCACCTCGGGCTCCAGAGCGGCCCTCCCCTCCTTGGCATTGTGCACGGTCGGGCCAGAGAGTCCCCTGGGGGCCAGGCACCCTGGTCTCTGCCCACTTCATGCCAGGAGCACACACTCCCTGCCCCAGATGTTAACAGGAAAGGTCCTAAAACAGGACCTCATGTCCCCTGGGGGCGGCATCACCAGCGAAGAGGCCCTGCTCTCTGTGGGGAGGTCAGCAGCTAGCAGCAGGCCCTGGCCTCAGACGCCCTGGACTTGAACCCTACCCCACCGCTCAGCATGCTGGGCGAGCCACGTGACCTCCCTATACCTCCCCCGTAAGCTCTCTCCTAGACTGGCTGCAAAGTCAGAGGGATCTGTTCACGACGAGGGCCCGAGACAGTCTCTGCCCCACAGTAAGCGATGGATAAACACTAGCTGCTATCATGAAATGAACTGCTCACAAAAAGCCTGCTCAGAAAGCAAAGCAAAGATGGTTGATGCGCAAGCGGGTGGAGGCAGAGGCAAACACAGTAATCGGCCCCTTCCCCAGCATGAGCCGCTTGGGGCATCCTTCACCTGGCTTTTACAGGAGGAGGCCACCCCAAGGCTCCCCACCCTGGCAGGATGCAGCCCAACTGCATACCTGGCCATGGGCTGAATGCTGTGAGGCCCCAAAGTCCGTATGCGCAAGTCCTTCCCCAGACGGGACGGTGTTAGGAAGAAGGGCCTCAGGTTTAGAGGAAGTCAGGAGGGTGGGGTCCCCTGATGGGATCTGTGCTCCTGAGGAGTCACGAGACAGTCTGTTTCCCCTCTCTAGTCTCCCCCATGTTGGGATACTGTGAGAAGGCAGCTGTCTGCGCCCCGAAGAGAGCCAGGACCCAACCGTGTTGGCCGCCTGACCTGACTTCCAGCCTCCAGAACGAGGAGACCTAACTTTCTGCTGCTCATGCACCATCGGCCTCTGGTGCTCTTCGCAGCAGCCCCACGGCCTGAGAGAACAGGAGCCTGCCCGCTCAGCCGAGATGGGCCCCCACCTCTACGGGTGCTGAGGCCCGCCCCCCAGCAACTGCTCAGATGGCAGGTGTCACAGAGGCTCTACCCAGGCCCCAGAGGCGTGGGGCACAGCAGAGGGCAGAGGAATCCGGGGCGCCTGCCAACTTGAACAGGCACCCAGGCTGAGGGCACTGCCCGGCCGGGGCGCGCAGGCGGTAATCGGCATAGGATGCGTCAGTCTCGGGGAACCCCGACCCACTCGCAGAAGCCCTAACCAGATTTTCATTTTTAAACTCAAATACTTTGAAGTTCAGCCTATTTTGGAGAAAAACAGTTCAGATTCCAATATGAAAACTGGTCAAAGGAACTAATTCACAGCGTTCTCACCCACGATGACGTGTGATGTTCCAAACATTAGTCAGCTCCCGGGACGGGTTTCTGAAAACTAGACAGGGGGATGAACGCCAGCTCCGTGGTCCCAGCAGGGCAAGCTGAGGCTGCCCGATGCCCTCTTCTCTCCTCTGTAAACAAGGGGCAGTCCCCCTGACCCCCAGAGACCCTGGGAGAGGGAGGCCGTGAGTCCGCCGCAGTGCAGGCTGGCCCCTCTGCCACCAGCTCCCCACGCCTCACTGCCTCACCTCACTGATGCTCGTGTCACCTTCTCAGGAGGGCATCTGGACGCTCTGACTGAAGATTACGCCCCAGGTCCAGGCTGCTGTCGCCACCTCCCACCTCTGTCTCGACCCAGGGCGCTTGTCTCCTCCCCGCACGATTCAGGCCTCCTTACTGACCCAACGTGTAGGTCGGTGCTTGTCCCCCTCACCAGAACACACACTCCAGGCCAGGGACTTCCTGGGGGCACCCCAAGCCCTAAGAGTCTGGCCCATCACAGAGGCTCATCAAATACTGGGTTGTTTTACATCATAGACACCCCCAAAAACAAAAAGCAAAGCTACTGAGAGCCGTCTCCAGAAAGGCTACTGAGCACCAGGCACGGGGTACAAGACATGCGCTGATCGCATCCTTGAGTTTATGACCTGGAGGCAGTCATTCCACACCCCAGACTCTGCCCCCTACAGACTCTGAGCCACGTGCAGATGTCCCGGCGGGGGAGGGGTGTCATTGGAAGCTGCCGGAGGAGGTGCAGCCTCTGAACGTGCAGTTGGCCTGGCCCCTGAGCTGGAAATTTCCCCCTGGGACAACCGGGGCACACTCAGAAGGGAGACACAGTCCCCTGGGGCCTGGTGCTCACTGTGGGCCTCTCACAGCCAGGCCACGAAAGCCACACACCACACCCTCCACCCAGAGGAGAGAAAGAAGCACTCAGCTGGGGACACAAAGAAAAGTCTACGGCTTCTCCTGCCTGGGAAGGCCTGTGGGCACGTGGATCACAACCTCAAGGTCTTCCAAGGGCACGAGCTCCTGTGGCAAAGAGGACGGAACGCCCGCTAACCTCCCGCACCGAGAGGCCTCCAGCCCCTCTCCCTCGCAGCACTGTACATCATCTCCTCGCGCCCCCGCCCACCTGCAGGACAGGATGTGTGGCTCTCGCTGACGGACTTCACCAGCCGGAGGTCACCGCTCGGGACCGAAGGAGGCTCTGCCGAAGGCTGTGGCTCCTGCCCGGGGCCCGGCGCCTCCTGCGGCTTGCGGCGCTCCTGCCGCTGGCTGTGGTTGCGCAGGACGCGGTGGGCCGTCTCCATGACCACATCGGTGTTCAGGCTCTCGCCTGCCACGGCCAGGAGCCCGTCATCGTCCTCGCCGGCATCCCAGGCGTCGCTGGTGTTGCTCCCAAACTCCGGGAAGGTGCTGATGCTCTTGGCCTTCACAGGTGTGGCGGGCACCTTCGGCGCGCCCTTGAGCAAGCTGCAAAGCAAAGGCAGACTTCAGCTGTCCCCTCGGAGGCTGGAGCGGACTCACCCCACGACCGGTCAGAAAGGAGCCCTTGGATGAAAGGTGCACATTCAAGCTTCCAGTGTCAACTGAGCTGAGGGTGAAGAGCAAGCACAACCCAAAGAGGCATCCGAGAGAGGACTCCTGGGGCACCCAGGGGGCTCAGTCGGTTAAATGTCTGCCTTCGGCTCAGGCTGTGATCCCGGGGTCCTGGGATCGAGCCCCACATCCGACTCCCTGCTTGGTGGGGAGTCTGCTTCTCCCTCGCCCCCCTCCCTACCCCCCCACTCTTGTGCCCTCGCTCTTTCTCAAATAAATAATCCTAAAAAAAAAACAGAAGAGGACTCCTAGGATTCGGGGGCAGGAAGGAGAGGCTCTCGAGGGGCAGTACCGCTGAGCAGTCTCTGCTCAGTGACAGAAGCCACTCAGGAGGAACCCCAGCACCGCAGTCACGGCATTCACAGGGAGTCCCCAAACCTCACACGGGCCAGTGCCCGCAAACCTAAGGCAGCAGTGGGGGCGGCGGGGGCAGGAGCGGCTGTCCTTCGGCGTGCAGATGCGACACAGCACCACTAGGGCAAGAGCCCCCGCGGGGGGCCCAGTGACACCCGCCAGCACGGGCGGGGGGTCACACCAGCCCCCTGCGTGGCTCTGGTGGAGGAGCCAGACACAGGGGCAGAGCGTGCAGTGGAGGGCAAGGGAAGTGAGCTGACCACCGAGAACAGGCCCGGGGCCAGGCCCTCCCCATCAGCTAAGGGGGTGCCAGCTTCGTGCTCTCCTCCACTTTGGGCTGGGCTTCCTCCTCTGCCCTTGTCCGCAGGACCAGTCGTGCGAGGCCCTGGCGCGTGTCTGCTCGAGGGAAGACCACGCTGCTCCCCTCAGGACCCCGAGGAGGCCGGCGGGTCACCAGGACGCCCAGGCGCGTGCGTGATGCAGCATGACCACAGGCCTCACTTACGTGCCGTGTAACAGTGGGTCGAAGGGGGGGTGCTGGGCGCCGTACACATGCCGGATGCTGTTTAAAAAGAAAGGAAAACCGATTAGCTTCTCTCCAGCTTCCTCAAGAGCCCACACTAACTCGGGAAAAGGACCAGTTCCCAGTAACCTACACGCCTGAGCAGCAACTCTCCCTCAGCTGCCACGGGTCCCGAGGGCCCGTCTGGAAGGGATGAATGGCGCCACACAGGTCCACGCCACACACACAACGGGGCATTCAGCCTGCCGGGCAAATGGGCCTCAGCCCGGGGAGCCGCAGCCCTGACCGCATCGGCAGGGCCTCAGGCGCCGCTGCCGACGAGGCTGCTGGGAGCTGGGAGCCACTCAGCATCGCCCAGTTCCAGCAGCCTCTGCTCCCGGACCGTGTGCCAGCGGCAGGACTACGAACTAATGCTGAAATGCCCGTCTGGAAATTCCCATCTGCTGCCATTTCGTCAAAAACAGAATGCAGAATCACGAAAAGAAGATAAATGTGTTTTTTAAAGACTTAATGATTTTATTATAAAAGTTTTCTGGGGGCGCCCGGGGGGCTCAGTCGGTTAAGCGTCTGCCTTCAGGTCAGGTCATGATCCCAGGGTCCTGGGATCGAGCCCCACATTGAGCTCCCTGCTCCGCGGGAAGCCTGCTTCTCCCTCTCCCACTGCTGCTCCCCCACTCGTGCCCTCTCTCTCTCTCTCTCTCTCTCTCTCTCTCTCTCCCTCTCTAATAAGTAAAATCTTTTTAAAAAAGATAAAAATTAAATTTAAAAATAAAGTCTTCTGTTCATCAGAGTAAACTTGGAAAACAGATGGAAACAAAACAGCCCCCGTGGCAGACACCAGGGCGGTCCACTGAGTTGCCGCACCCGCACCCTTTCCTCGGCGGAGGCGTCCAGCCAGGGGAGGCCCTGTGACCCAGCGCAGCTCGGTCACCAGCAGTGTGGGCCCTTCCTCATCTGCCTGGAACACACATGTGAGGCCTAGAGGTTCCCCAGCCTCATGCCACCATGAGAAATGAGCAGGAGATATCAACCACCCGAGAACGCGGGCACGGCAAGAAGATGAGAAAGAGCACGGGTCTCGGGGGCACTGCAGCCCTGCCAACACCTTCATCTTAGCCCAGCACCAGAACTATAAGACAGCAAGTGTGTATTATAAGCCAATAGGGTTATGCTGATTTGTTACAGCAGCAGCAGAAAACCAAAAGAGAACAGAATGGTGAAAGACAGGTGACAAAGCCATCCTCTTGGCTTATGGAAGCTTAAAGGTCTCTGTGGTTAAGTCAACCTCACTTTTATGCGTTACACGGGGCTCTCCTTTGAGGACTCTACTTAAAAAGGCCCACCCCCAACTGTCTTAGTCCATCCCGGCTGCTATAACAAAAATACCACGCATGTGGCAGCTTATAAACAAAGACATTTATTCCCCACAGTTCTGGAGGCTGGACGTCCAAGATCAAGGTGCTGGCAGATTTGGTATCTGGTGAGGGCCTCAGCTGGTGCCTTCTGCTGCGTCCCCACCCAGCGGAAGAGGCAGGGAAGCTCTCTGGGGTCTCTTTTATAAAGGCTCCAATCCCACCATGGGGGACTCTGGCCTCAGGACCTCCTCACCCCCTCAAAACCCCCACCTCCTAACACCCTCAGTCTGGTGGGTAGGGCTTCCTGTGAGTTTTGGGAGCGCACGAACATTCAGCCCAGCCGACTTACTGAGATGGCATAAATCTCCAACTGTGTCCTAGTTCCACACTTGTGTGGTTTTATTTTTTACCCTTGAGTATTGAGTCACCTAGAATTTATTTTATTTTGCTACAGACTGTAGAAAACATTTTTTTCTTTTGACAGAGAGAGAGAGAGCGATAGCAGGAACACAAGCAGTGGGAGTGGGAGAAGGAGGCTCCCCGCCGAGCAGGGAGCCCGATGTGGGGCTCGATCCCAGGACCCTGATATCATGACCTGAGCCGAAGGCAGACGCTTAAGGATTGAGCCACCCAGGCGCCTGCAGAAAACTTTTTTAAAAAATAATCCACTGCTCCAATGACATTGGTTAAAAACCTATCCTATTCCCTACTGGTTTGCGGACACTGTCTTCAATACGCAGGAGATTACTCTATGCTGGGGCATTTTTTCAGTTTTCCATTCATTCCTCCATGTCTGTGCCTGTGACACAACATTTTAATTACAGAAAATGTTCCCTTTTATATCCTAAAATGTTTCAGCAAAATTTAACGGACATTCGATAGCCCCCACATTGCGACGGGGTTATGAGGAGTACGAGGCAGGCAAAGACAAGCACACTGGACTCCAAACTCGCACGAACCTTTAAGTTTACCTACAAAAATAAAAAAAATGAATTGGCATTTATAATGTTCTTGGACAACAAAAACATGGTAAACTGGAATATTATTCAGTGAAATAGTCATCAGCTAAAAAATAAAGTGCTAGCTCACGCTGTAACACGGAAGAACCTTGAAACCATCACGCTACGCGTGGGAAGCCAGTCATGAAAAAACACCTATTCTGGGGCGCCGGGGTGGCTCAGCCATTGGGTGTCTGCCTTCGGCTCAGGTCCTGATCCCGGGGTCCTGGGATCGAGCCCCACGTCGGGCTCCCTGCTCCGAGGGAGGCCTGCTTCTCCCTCTCCCACTCCCCCTGCTTGTTCCTGCTCTCACTAACACTCCCTCTCTGTCAAACAAATAAAAATCTTAAAAAAAAAACACCTATTCTATGATCTCACTGACATGAAATGTCTAGAAGGGAGACAGAAGGGAGACTAGTGGTTGCCTGGGTGGAGGATGGGAGACTGGGGTGACAGCAGAAGACTACAGGGCTTCTTCCTGAGGGGACAAACATATTCTAACGTTGACTGTGGCGACGGATACACCGCAGTACCACTGACTTTCACCCCTTAAATGAGGGAATGGTGTTGTACGTGAATTTTAATGGGTGAACTATTATTATATGTGAGTCTCAATGAAGATGTAAGTTTTTAAAGGCAGCACAGTTTCCACCTGGTTCTCTTGGGTTCTCCCTTGGAACCCAGCCACCAGGCTTTGAAGAAGCCCACATGTAAGCACTAGAACCAACAGCTTCAAGGGGGTGTCCCAGCTGATGACGGCCGGCATCAACCTCGACAGGCGTGAGTCACCAGCCTTCTTCTGATTTCCCTCCCAGCCTCTGAACCTTCCCAGTGACACCATGGAAAAGAGACCAGTCTGACCCACAGAATCCAGGAGGGTTTGGGGGTTTGTTGTCATTGTTGGAAAGAAAGAGTATCAGCCCACGGAGGTCACGCACAACCCCTCTGTCGTGGTCCCTTTCCAGAAATCTCTTGGAGGCTTCCCCGACCTTGGTAGGTTTCCTGTTTTAAGAACCAAAGGGCCTGGGTAATTGCTCTAGGCTTTAGCTTCCTCGTCTCGGAAATGGGAATAAGAACGTGTAAGAAATGAGACAGCCATAAATGGCAGCAGCTTGACTACCGCCAAGTGACCTACAGACAGCATTCACCGGTACTATGCACCTACCTTGCTGGCTTGCACCCTTCCCTTATGTCTCAGTACACGAATAGGGCTCAAAACCAGCAGGCAGTGGGCCTCTGCCCTCTATGTGCAAGGCATTTCCATGGGTCTTGCAGTGTTACCACACGCTGCAGGCCCCTTGCCTCCCAGGAAAGCGCCAGTGCATTAATTCTTCATGGGCACACCACTTGTGTTTATTGAGCAGAAAATGTTCCAGCAAAGTTCAAGCTCAGACTAAAAGGCATCTCATTTTATCTTATTAAAATTGCATTTTTATCTGGTCTTGCATAGCCAAAAAGAAAAACAGGCTTCATCTAAAGCCATTTTAAAAGAATAAGTAGCACATCATGAAATCTTTCTTTAAAAAATATGTTCACCAATAAACTTTTTAATGAATTGTACTGCTTAAAAACACCACAGTAACTCATTGCTTTAAAGAGGACCCCAGTGATTCCTCACAAAAAGCAGATACACACGACATAATGCCACTTCTAGGCACACGCCATGAAAACCCCTTGTGTAAGGACGCAGAAGGCAGGTTCAGCGATGTCGCTAACGCTAAAAAGAAAAAAAAAATTAAGAAAAACTTTTATCCATCATCAACTGAAGAATGAATTCACATTATCCCTTTGTCCACTATCAACTGAGTTCCAACTGAGTTCCAACAAACTGGAACATACACCTATAATGGAATACTAACTACAATAAAAACGAAGGAACTACAAGAACCAAGATCGGTGAACTTACAAGCCTACCACTGAAGAGTAACTTGAATATGCACAGTATGATGTCATCTATAAAAAGTTTTTAAAACGAGAAAATGAAACTATCTACCGTGTCAGATACATACATGGTGGTCAAAACTCCCAGCTCATGATAGTGATGAAAACAAACGGAGAATAGGATGGGAGCGGAGGGCTGGGGGTGGAGGGGACTCTGGGGCTGGGAAGAGGATGCAACGGCTTCAACTCCAAATAGCCAAAGTGCGCAAACAGTCCCGAGGCCC